GCTTCTTTCCAATCTCCGTCAGATGTAATTTTGAAGTCGCTCCATGAATTGCAGTTATAAGTACTCCATAAATAAAGATGGACGCCTCGGTTCAGGGACGTCGAGAATTGGACTTGCCACACCGTGACCCTCCTCTCGTAGTCTTATCTCCGGTTTTGTTCGTCTTAAAGACATTTTTGCAAAGACTTGACCTCAGTGTGAACACCATTGCTAAGCCTTTTCTTCCACTTCTCCATGAGTCAAAAGGTCCAGTCATTTAATTTCACTAATGGCTTTGAGGAGAATACACCTCAAACTACATTCCAGGCTTCGCCTTGCAAATATCATAAAATGACGTCTGCAGAAAGACTCGTGAAAGCACGCCGGATCGATTAATTGAACAGGCTTGACTAAATCATTGGCGATTTGGGAGGAAGCAGTTTTGCTTATGCACCCTTTTATCAAATGGTTTTATGAGAGGGGCCCTACTAATGCGGACTTTAAGTAATCAATGATTACGGTAGGAAAGCAATTCCGTGTACCCTGGGAGGGATGTCATTTGTCTTCATCTGTCAAAGCGAGTTTTTGTAGCGGCATACGCTCGCCAGTCGATCTGACCATCTGTTTCTTACGTAATTGGACACGAAATCCTCATGGCCAGTTGTAGACTTTTAAATCCATCATGGATATACGCTTCTCTACTCTACATGTAAGGGGTGAAATTTTAACAACAATAAATTCGGAAACTCATACCCAAATTAAGGTTAATTGTAAAGTTACACACGAAATATAAGAGAGGAAATTTATAGACTATAGATCTATCTGGTGTTTCTACCAACATTACTGGGAGGTTAGACGTCTCCGTCTTTGGAGGCAGTGGCAAATGAATAATCATCATCATCAAAATTCATTGGCCAATGAATATTCCCACGTTTCTAGTGATAAGAGGGTATTGTAGATTAGGCAGATATCCTGTTTTTAAGTTTCTTTATATAAAATAGAAATGAAATCTACTGTGTGCTTAGGTAGTTCATGACATCGAGATTTATTAATGTCCTTTTTTTAGTTCTGCTACTCTTTTATTTATTGGCTTGCAAAAATGTAGCATGGCATTATACATGGACATAGTTTGCATACAGAAATACCTAGTACGTTTAATGTTTTACATAATGTGTACATCAGGCTAGATGTATTAGAGTTTGAAGATGTAAGTACTGTATTTGGGTAAGAATGTTTTTCCCTTCCTTCAGGAGAAATATAGACCTTTCAAAGGATTTCATGAGCCACCACTTGGCAGCTGAGCGAACCTTATATGCCATGAAGAAGTATTTTTCTACGCGTTGGCCATGCGCCAACTCGTATGTCACGAATAGTGGTCCAGGATTAGGTATTTCAGGCAGACAAGACTTCATAAAAGCAGAATGCAGCGGCGTCGAAGACTCTGAGAAGATATGCCGGGTGTTTCACCTATTTTATGTTATATTAAATCTTACCGAGCCAAATACTTAGGAGATCTATATTTTTATAAAATGACTACGACGTGCCATACGTAACGTGGAAACATATTCTAGTAGGAAGAATTATTTAAGATATCTGTAAGCGTGTTTTGGGACGTGGTCTTTGTCAGGGTACTACTGTCGTCACACTAATATACCAGAAACGTTGTCATTTTCACGTATCAGGCACTCAATCTGAAGCATTATCACTAAAGCTTCATATAAATAAATGGTTTATTATCGAGGAAAGTGATACGTGGCAGCCATAGATAGTTGACGATAAGAACTGAGTAAATTGTAAAAAAGTATCAAAATATGATAAAAGAGCACCATTGCGATGCTCATATAAACATGTTAAAATTGCAATCATAAATTCTCTGTAAAACTGTTCGACATATGTTAGAAATACATGATAATTAGCACAGCTAGATCAGTTACTGTTTAAAAAGAAATTGCGTTGAAATCTCTAGGTACAATTACTAAAAGCTAACATCGTATCACTAACATTAAAAGGCGCATGAAATTCATAAATTCTCTTTAAAGTCGTTCGGCAAATCACTTGGAAAAACACAATAATTGCACAGCTACATTAGCTACTGTTTAAAAATACGTTATAATCTCTAGGTACAGTTGCAATTTAGATATCTGATCGTATCACTAACATTGTGGGGCACATGAATGTAATAAATTCTAGTTAAAGTCGTTCGGTAAATCAGTTGGAAATACATAATAATTGTACAGCTACATCAGTTACTGTACAAAACGGAAGTACGCTACTAAATATGCGTACAGCTACTATTTAGAACTAAGATCGTATCACTAACATTATAAGGCGCGTGTACTTAGCCTTACCTTCACAGGTCACCCGCTCATTATGTAGTGTATTACGTTTGACTGACGAGTACAGATGATATCAACACTGAGTGACAGTCTACCACGATTATTTCATGATCAATAAAGAGAAGAAGTAAACGGGGATTAACTTTGAATTAAATGATTCACTGGTTCATTTCATAAAATCATGATTTTATAGATTTTAATGAGACATCCATCCATCACCATTAAAATGGCCTGACAGAACTAGTCAACACTTACCACATGTAAAGGAACTGGAAAACCTACTTGAGCATGAAAAGGGCCCTTAGTTTTTCCAGTTTCTTTACATGTGGCTAGATGCCACTCCAAACGTCCAGAAATAATCTTACTAATTCATCCAGTAGCAAAGTTTGAATCGTATTTGAAAAAAAATTAACCAACTTGTAACATAAAGTTACATCATAGCTAACTGCCGAGACATTCAGTTTCAGATCAATTGAGTTATAGCAAGGATCAGGTAGTCTAGATAGCAGTAAGGGTTATCCTTTCAGTAAAAAAATATACAGTAGCACCATCAGATACAGTCTCGAGTATTCTGAGACATACCCTTCCAGAAAAACATTCCAAGGAATATTTGTCAAGATATAAGCATGCAGTCGTCCAGTCTGGCCTCAGAACATCAGCTTCAGTTCAGGTGAAGACCCTGTCATTTTAAGATATTGCTAGTCTAACGTGGAGATCCCTTGAGATCACGATTCACCATTACACCATACAACGTAAAGGAGTATAGGTCTGTTGACTTTTCTTATATCGCGATATACTGCTCATTGATGACACAGAAATCCGGTGATGGTAAAAAGCAGCCCTTTATGTTTTGTTGAGTGGCGTCTGGTCGGGTTTTCCGCTGCAAATCATCTTTTTATTTCTTTGTTACTCTTTGATACATAAGACATGGTGATCTTGAAATATATTTATCAGGTTTCTAAACATGGACGTTGATTTCAGTTAGATTCGATTCGATTTGACAAGTATCAAAATTATTTTTTAAGATTAAGTTTGCTTTGTTTTAAATGGCACCCAAAGTAATTTCATGGCGGCAAAACTGGATTTTCAAAGTCAATTTTCTGGTCATTCTTTTACTATATATGATGTAGTAAGTTGAATCCTATAGCATACTGATATCCATGCATATGAGGCAAAATGTGATGTAGCTGACATAAAACGGTGTCTTGTTTTGTATCGTAGCCTGGTTCTAACTACTGATAGACGGTGCACAAAATTACAAGGACTCCTCAAGTGGCTTTTCCTGGGGCTATTTAAAACACTTGAAGTTCCCAATGTGCTAAAAGAATGGCAGTAAATATCGGTATAGGACAGATCTTCTCATCTCGATTCCATTCCTTTTTTCTCTGTTTTGTCACCCTGAAATTGCACTGGGTGGCTTTAAACAAAAGGCACAGGAACAGCCATGGATGTAGCGGAACAGATCACAAGATCATAAAAAAGAATTGGCTGTCTCGACAATATGGTAATACCGTTCTTACATTTCATAAACCATAATGACGGTAGCTCATCAAAAGGCATTACCCTCCAAGGTCGCCATATCAAAAAGCCGCTATGCCCCCTTCCCGGGTAATAACACGGTCCTAAAACGCTGTTTTCCCTGTGAGTTTTTCGGTCGCCGTGCAATTTCTTTCCCCGTGCCCAACGATTTGATTCATCCTGATGGCTATTGACATACCATCTGGACCAAAACTGAATGTGCACCTTTAATAACCGCACTATTAACGCAGCGTACCCCACTGTGTGATGAGAAATCGAAACGTAATTCATTGCCCATTCGGCAGACCGACACAAGAGGATTAACTGCCCTTTTTCGGACTACCAGACGAGGGAGAGTATTTCGAATAGATGAGCCTCCTCCATACATCTCGTAGATAGATTCATCCTGACCTCAATTTTCTCGCAGATACCGGAATTGCATGTGGAGGCCAAGTTATTCATTTTCACCGCAGATGTCTGTTTTCATTTCGTTTACGGTGTAGAATTCCGAGAAAAAGCTTTGCCACCCTGTGTACAGTAATCAACAAAATCAATGTCGGTGTTGCCTCCACGCAGTGGTTTTCTTAAAAACAGTCATTTGATCTCGTCTGTTCTGTGAAATTTTATCCGGGAAGCTTGGCGCCGTAAATTATCGCTTTTTTCTTCCTCCGCGTCCAGCATATTCCGGGAAACCCATACCCGTGAAAGTGACCAACCATTTCATCCAGCAGACGTAATGGTTTTCATTCGCCGAATAGGTCCCCGGTGCTCTCTGCATATTTAATCCGCGACCTTTTGGTCTCCGTTCGCAGCTTGACTATAGACCCGTGAGAAGCATGCCACGTTTACCAAAGAACACGATATTGGCTAATATTCCGCGCGCTGCCAGAGAAATATCAACTCACACACAGCTGCTTAAAATATGACTCCCCACGAATCTGCCTGTCCGATGTTCACATGTACAGCGTGTCATATTGGTTTTCGTCGCTTGATAAATCCTGATAACCCCCCCTCGCAAAGTAATGGCAGATTCCTGGATCGTCCCAGACACGCCAAGGCAATATTACGCCACTGATGTATTCTGCCACCTTTCTTTTCATAACGGCGCGTGCGGAGTCTAGTCATGAACGGTGTTTGCAGTCGGCCCGCCCTGCCTTTGTCTAAGCGGTACCGCGGTGCTGTTTTCGTCCCGTGCAGGTAGATCGTGACGGGGAATGCATGGTGCTGATGTGACGACGCAGACCTGGTCCGGGCAGAACGTGGCGTGAAGAAGACATGAAAGAGGCGGGAGGCAGAGAGGAGGGGCTGGCGGTAGGACTCCTACTCCTACACCTGGTGCCAGGTGGGTGACGCTTCTTACAAAACACCGATTTCGTTTCTTTTGACGGCAATGCATGATCAGCTTATAACATGAACCTCTATTGAAGAAAATACGCTTAGAAAAAATCAAATGAAAAAAGTGTCGTCGTTTTAGGTAACATTACTGAAGAGCGGAATGTCGTTGCCTTTGAATTCCTCATGCAAGCCCATGTTTGAAGTTCTGTTACTGATCATGAATCCTATTAACACAATAAATGTTTGACTATAAGCAGATCTGCATCATACTCATGCATTATAAGTGATGTCATGCTGATACATGTGCTTATGAGATGATTGAGACTCTGGTTATGCACAAACATATATTGTGCTGCAAATTTGAAAAAAATAGATATACCATGATCAGTAATGGAACTTCAGGCACTAGATTCCATGACAAATTCGAAGACAAACTACATGCGGCTCATCGTATCTTATAATGTACCTACAAAGAGAACTAATCTAAAAACGGCTGGTGAGCGGCATGTGATGTATCAGCTTAAGTAGACGTAGTTCGCTATTATGAGTGGCTCTGCCATGCGTTACACTCAATCCGCCATACGCAGCTATAGCCTAAGAGCTACATGTAAAAAGGGTCTCCAATAACAGCACCTGGAAGCTAAACACTGTCTATTCTACCGTGTATCTAATTGCACCGGATTTGCCGATGCAACTTTTCCGATAAACGTCTAGGATGTACGCCAAAGAACACTCCAAGACATTTACAGGAAACTCCAGGGGGGATGTTTCTAGATAGAAGGTAATTCTGCTCATGATAGTTGCGCAGTTCTCTCTCAGTTCCGGATTTGGGTATCCATACGGTTTTGACAGGGGTGATTAGTCAAGGTAACCTACCGGCCGACAAAATAAACTATCCTGTCAAGCTGGATCTCGCTCGGGTCGAGGGCAAGTTTATCTCTGGTCTTAAAAGATCGAGAAGAAAATACAGTCGCTGGATCAACACCACGCCACATGCTAGATTAGAAATCACGCCACATGCTACACTAGATCCGAGAGGCAACCCATCAATTTGAGGCATGGCTGCGCCGATACCTCATGTCATATTCTACACCAAAGGCATTTGGATATCTTGTTAAATGATTGCTATATTTTGTTATAAGCCATTTCTTAAAGAGCTACCCTATACATCTATTAATGATGTGGATGAATAGTTATTTTTCAGAAGACAGGAAAACTAAATTTAACTTACCATTTTCTTATCTAAAATGTATGTGTTAGCAGCTTTATGCAAAATAATACAAGTTTTGGACTTTGAAAATAGTTCTGCAAGCTTTCTAAAGAAATGTAATTATCATTTGATTTGAAAAAAAAATTCACATGACGTTTTAAATTTATTTAGATAACATATAATAATATGCATCTAATCTAACTTTCCTAAAAATTTGAGACGCTTTGAAGAATGTATAACCGAGTTATGCCAGTTTTCAAACAGAACCCTACTGATAGCTAAATATGCCTCGGGCCGCCTTACAATCACTGAGTAAAAAGTTCAACCTCACAAGGATTCTGTGATATTTTGTTCAGCTAGCCGAACATATCCAACATACAGTGTAATAAGCCGACATCAGCCTCCAGACTTTCAGATTATGGATAACGTTGGGAGGAGAGCAATTAATTACTCGGCTTCTCAATTACCTCTGTATACAATTAGTAGGCCTGTTGGTGGTCTGTCCTATCAGAAGGGCTCGGCAAAAGGTCGCTGATAATGAACACAGAAGCTTCTACTCTTCGGCTCCATAAAATTGGTTCCGGGCAATCGTCAATCAATCCTACGGGCGTTTACAGATCCAGTTTACTTCCCGTCCCGGTCATTGGATACCGCTGAAAATCCTCCACATGCGATTAGATGTTGATTAAAGAAATTACGGTTAAGAAATGACGATCGATTGTCACAGTCTGATGTTTTCAGCCTGCTATAAGCTATGTTTGTATACTGCACTGGTTTCGGGTGATCTATGCTTTTATTTTTCACCTCGCGGCACGATACTTCCAGTGATGGATTTTAATATCGTTATTGAAAAATAACAGTTCGGTAGTGGAGGATATTACATTTCCATTCCGGATGTCACTAATCTATTCCGAACAAAAGGTCCATCCGTCTCGATCAGAATTTTCTCTGGGAGTCTTACACGGTCTAGACTAACGCTACTTTCTGGAGGGTGCTGCGACTAAGACATCATTTACCATGGGCTTTTGGTTAAAATGATCGCACTTTATTTCCATTAGCGCCCCAGATTTCCTACATTGAGGAGATATGTTCCTGCCAGAAAAGCAGATGATGACTAGACGCTTCAGAAGATGACGGCACTCTCGCGTTATTTTTAATAAATAATATTCAGGAATGCAGACGACTGTGTGTCAGATGCCCGACCATTGGCGCCTTAGATTAGTCTAGAGCGAAGGTCATGAGCAGTGAACGCGGCGAGATGAGCTGTCATGTGCTTGCCTTAACTCATCAGTTGCCGCCTGTCTTCAACAAGCAGCCAGGCAGCAGAATTACCTCTCCAGCTTATTGCATAGTTTATAGAATGAGTAATTTGCATTCCTGTCTTGCCCCGTAGATAAATTCTACCAAGTTCTAATGAGAACCCAGTAATTTGATCAAGTTTAATCATTACTCCTTAAAAACAGACATAGGGAGTGTAGTACTCTGCCAAAGGCAGCCGTGAATATAGATCGTTCTTTAACATTATCGGCCCGGCACTGATGTCTAATCAATGGCATAAGCAGCGTGTCATTCAAATCTTTGATCCATCAATCTGCTCGGTCTGACACCTGCCTAATCCTGGTGATTATATGTAGTCATTAATGAGCCTTAAAATGGAAGGTCCATCTCATTAATCATTGCGATCCCTCGGTCGATCCTCGCGGCATATAATGCGGCTCTTTGCTAATGACGTTGCCGGTTGAAGATTGGAGAAGCGGGCCTCATTCTCTCTGGCAAGCGAACAAAATGTCACAGGCGTGTTATCAGCGATATCTCATAGATACTTCCCCCGACAAGACGTCGTGGGTTAATGCAGAAGATCTATTCAGCCAAGCAGCAGGGCGGCTGGGAGCTGTCAGGATCGGCCCCTTGAGAAAAAGCCTGCACAGACGGATCCTAGTCTTGAAGTATTGCCATTTTCAAAGACCCTATCCCGACATTATACCCTTGGGCGATAGCTGTCATTTCTCAAGGCGCTACGCCCTAGAATCCTGCTGGTGGGAGTATCACTTCCAGAGACTTATACCCAAGCAATTTTCTACCACCTCATAGATTGCCTCTCCTGATCCTTCTTTGATGGGCAGGAGATCCGAAGAGGGGCCCCGACTTGACGGAAAGCGTGATGGCACCTTTGCTGAATTTCAGCACAGGGGCTCCCCGCATTGCCATCGCCTTTGGCCGGGCGGAGGCGAATTAAGAGAGCAATCTCGAAGGCTTTAACCTTAAAAGGGCGAGCAGACGAAGTGTTATTTGTGTCATCCGCTCACCGCCTCGTTGAGACGTTATAGCTTCTCGCAGTTATCGCCTTGCAACAGTACTTTGTATGCCTGAGCATTGTCGTAAAAACGGCCATAGTCTGGCTATTACAAAAAGATGAGATTGCCGGGGCCACTCTTATAAGATACCTTGACTCATGCGAACAACACGCAATACATATTTGATTATATATGTTTGTTTGTTTGTTATCTGGGGGTGCATAAGATGTACTTGAAACTCTGGTACGAATTATTCCGAAGATACCCTGAAAATATCAAATATTTCTAGAATAATAAATATTTGATATTTCTGTAGTATATTCCAAAAGAAAACAAGAAACCGGAGTGTATTTTTTAGTTTGTTTTAGCCTTTCTTTATTTATGAAATATTCAAAACGACAGGCTGAAGGGCTTCAATGTGGTCATGACAAAATAGGTCAAGGCAAGACAAATTCTAACCAGATAAAGGTTACATAATCGAATTCATTCGCCCAACTTCAAGACCTTGAAGTCCACAAGTGTCCGGAAAGTGTGTTGAGTTTTCATAAATGTATTGGAACTGTGGAGAAGATTGTTTGATGTGATGTGATCAGGTCCTGAACACCACTTCCTGAATTCCTCCACATACCACAAACTTACACCCATCTGGCTTGTGCTCACTGTCAATCGACTGTTAGAATCACCTCCCACCCGCCATGCTTACGAAACCATTATGGCAAACAGAGGCAAAACAATACCTCTTCACCCGATAAACGTAAGGAGAGGCAAGGAGAACAATACAGTATTTTTTTCTCGGGGGATTTTTCATTTGCGTAATAAATTAGGGTAAAATCATGCTAATGCATGACTTCTACCAACAAAAATGAACTTTAAAGTTGATAAAATGTGTGTTTTCTTCCCCCACAGCTGTCTTTAGCAACAAATTCATGTCCGTCACAGTACATGGAATGGTCGGAGACACGGTAACCTTTCCTGCCAGCTACGACAGTGACAAGGACATCATAGTTCTAACATGGAACAAACTAGACCAGGACATAGAAGGCCGGAGAGTCCCCGTGTACATCTACACGCCGGTGAGTCGGACTTCCCTGGCGCTGGGGCCGTTAAAGGGTCGGGCGGAGCTGCACCAGAACGGATCGCTCACCATCAGGAAAATAAACGAGGCTGACGAGGGGCATTACGTCATGACTGTTCTGATCGATACGATTGGTCAGGAGGAACAGTACGTTTTCCTGGATATAGTAGGTACGTCGGGTCTTCTAACTTGAGAGGATATTGATATATTTTTAGTTTTCTTTGACAAAAACAAAAAAATATAATAGCCAAGTATATTACAGGGAAAATATTTTAACTTTTGCGTCTTTTGGGACAGAACTATATTGAAAAATGTATAGAGGTTAGATATAGATATAGATTTAGGTATAGATTTCTGGATATAGGTACGTTGGGTCGTCTGATTTGAGGGGAAATTGATATATTTTGAGTGTTCTTTGACAAAAATATATAATAGAAAAAATCATGAAGGTTTTAAACCCCCTTGGAAAAAAACATGGCAAAATATCATATTTTTGGACACAAATATCTTGAAAAATTAATAGTTATAGATTTAATATCGGAATGTGGTAGGTACGTCGACTTATGTAATTTATCATATTACATATTTTGATAAATAAATCATATATTTTGCGTGTTCTTTCACAAAACAAGTCATATATTTCAAGTGCTGTTTTGACAAAATATCAATAGGTATCAATAGTATCAATAGGTGCGAATTCAATATGGTTTGGTAGTTTATCACTATTTGATGTGTATTTTATAATGTTTATTTAACATCTAATCAATATTCTAAATCTCCAAAAATATAGATACTACATTCACGGGGCTACCTAGATGAATCCGTCGTCTTAATCTTTAGTTAAGTTTTCCTGGAGCAGTTTTAACGAAGTTGTGGAGGTGCTTAAAGTGCCCCGCTTTATCACGTATTCGCCACGGCAAACGCATTTAGCTTTCTCGTCTTACTCTCCACAATACGGCGGCAGTATTCCGGCTTTTTACTTAACAGTCAGGTCTCCAAAGACTTGCAGAAAGGGGAGGTGTGCAATCCGATACAACTCTGCCAATCAAAGGCCAATACACTATAGAATTGGAACATACCTTACGAGATGGAGGCATGGATTTTGACTCCAAATTTTCATTACTTGTCACCTTGGGGTCAAAGGTTTTATAGAATCATCCATAATTTGTATGCTATGAATTTTCAGTGGAATAATTGTAGTTTGCTGACACGAAGACGTGACAAACGTGTGAAATGTTAAATAAATACGTTATTTGTTGGAAGAAAGTTTGAACTTTATACCATTTTTAATTCTACCGACACAGTGTATTTTTTGTATATTATTTAATAGGCGTCAAAGAAAAGAAAGGTTGAATTGAAATTATTTAAAACCTAGAATCAGGTACATTACAAGGCGTTGCAATGTATCACGTTTAAAAATCGTCCGCGAGTCATTTTGCTTTTAAAAGAAACGAAACCTGACAATCATGATACGTACGTCAAACGAGTTTTCTGGCTGGTTTTACTGCGCAAAAATAGCTGTTATTATTTCATCTGGGAAGTAAAGATAACGTACAGGTTTGTCGTGTAATTACAGAAAATACAGTAGTTAGCAGATCGTCGCCTGTGATAAGCTTCTATACAGCTGTACACATGATACTATAATGAGGTATGGTAGTGATTATATATTATGAAGGTCAAAGTCGCAAACATATACCCATGCACATAATACGGTCTTATTTTACAGTTTCGCTTAATTCAGAGATTTTTTTTCAAAATACTTATTGATGTAATAGTTGTGTTTGGTGCAACTTCGTCCAAGCCACTATATCATAACTATAACTATTACTCCGTGGTCCATTTCTATGTGATGTAGTCTGATGTTTCTGTTGGGCGTATCCTCTCCCAAACCAAGGCTGTATTTTTTTTTATTTCTGTTATATTTACGACAACCATTACTAGAACTATGTGTTCCATTTCTAAGTAATGTAACCTGATGGTTTTGTTGGGCAGAGTTCCTCCTAGCCAAGGTTTTTTTTTATTTCTTATTTTTATTTTTTTTTTTTTTATTTCTCCAAGATTTATTACCCTTGCTGTAAGTATGTTCTTCCCTGGTCTATTACAGTGATGTAGTGATATTTCCGATGGGTGTGACTTTTACCAAGTACATGCAGTTTTATTCTTCTAAGATAGATCACCATCACTACGTATACGATGCTCGATGGTCCATTTCTAAGGTGCTAAAACTCACCACAGCGGTCTGCTCAACATGTACGCTGTCTGGGCTTTTACACTTAGTCCTAAATATTTCCAAAGTATTCCCCGAGTCCTCTACATGCACTTCACACCTCCTGGAGTTGAGCTCTTGGTAGGATCATGTCGTGCCGTTGCCGTGCGGAATCAGCCCCTACAGGCTAGGCCAGACAAGTCAATTCCAATACAAAAACCATGAGATACCGTAGCCCCATGCATACTGCAAAACGAAACCGTTTCCTTCGGGGGTAGATATTCCGCATAAATCAATGAGTGGATGCCTTTATCTCCACCTCAACACTCCCTGCGATGGTTCGACCACCTGCTCACTCAAACGTTAAAAAGTAGCACGTATGTATAACTGATGTATACGGCTCAATAGAGGCCATGTTTTATGGTTGTATCTATACATTATCAGCCCTGTGATACTTCGTATTGACATTTTAAAGGTCGTCCCTTTACTTTTTTTTTCGTATTGATATTATTTTTAGATCCCCTTTTACAGTTCCACTTCGTATTGACATTTTAGGGTCTCCCCTTACAGTTCCACTTCGTATTGACATTTTAGGGTCTCCCCTTACAGTTCCACTTCATATTGACATTTTAGGTCTCCCTTTACAGTTCCACTTTACAGTATTGACATTTTAGGGTCTCCCCTCATAGTTCCACTTCTTATTGACATTTTAAGGTCTCCCCTCACAGTTTCTTTTCGTATTGACATTTTACGGTCTCCCCTCACAGTTCCGCCCAAAGTGGATATCGGACTTGTGGGTCCAGAACTCGTGCCGACCAATAGCAGTCTGACACTGAACTGTTCCGTGGACAAAACTAATTCCAAAGTGAAGGCTGTTTTCTGGATGAAGGATAATGAACTGCTCTCCAGGGATACGACTCGCGTGGACTACGAAGGCCCCAACTCGTACAAATCTTCCATCCTCTTGGAAAAGATGACCAGGAAGGATTCTGGGAACTATTCGTGCGTAGCGGAACACATCAGAAGTGTCGTCGTGGACAGCGTTCAAGTGGAGGTTACGTGTAAGTTTGAACTTTTGATTTTTTTATTTAAAAAACTGCAGTAGTAGAGTACGTTACGGCGTATTCTTTTTCGCTTGCAAAACTATATAGTACGGAAAAGTATATTGATGTGTACTATTATCCCCGATAATGTAGGCAGTCTAAATTCCTCCTAGTTTGATTTCCCAGGTTTTCTTTGCCCCACATGAGTCAAATCGTTGCCGGTAAAGCTTAGCTTGTTACTTACGGGTACAGAAGTATTGTTTTGGGTTGGTTTGTATGTTTCGTGTCGTAGCCAGTATATTGACAGTCCGTTGGTGGGGAAGAACTTACAGGCCAAAGAGCAGGATTCAAAAAGTTCAGACAAAAAAAATTAAATGAACTTGATTTAAAGTTCACAAAATCTAGCCAGGAGCCAGCAGAAATCAGTTGGTGGTATATGGGGGAATTCAGGAAGCCGAGAATTGCTTGAGCCAACTTTCAAACCCAACACAGTTCTACTCTCTTCTCTTCTGTTTTTTTAATAAATTCAGTAAACCAGACAATAGTTCCCGAAAGTCTTATCTAACTTCTTGCATGAGTAGATTCCTGCTATTTTTGATATCCGTACAAGGTATATAGCAATCTTAAGTCAAGGCTTTCTCAAGATGAATACAACTACTTAAATCTATAAATAAACGTTTTTGATGTTAACTTCGGGTAAGACTCTTGGGGTGCTATTATGGCGTCTACTTTCTTATCGCCAACCATTATAAAGCAATTTTGGACGGAAGCCCATACATTTAGATTTAGTTTGCCTTGGAAGATTAGGAAAGAAATATGATATCTGAAAATGTTCTTGTTGGCGTAGTGCAATTTTTGACATAAGTAATATTACCGTTCTCTTCCAGTAATCTGACCATCTATTAAACAAGGGAAGCTATTAATTTTAATCAGTTACAGTGCATTACGCAACAAGGAAAACCCGGTAATTTATGCAACCGTCAAAAAGATACATGACTTCGATATATCGTAGAATCTGCATGTTAATGTATCATGGTCATCATCAATTATAAACATAAAGCCTCTGTCAGACCAAGGAGCTTAGAATAAAATTTCCTTGGTCACACATAGTCGAATACTAGTACAGCCTCCCGAACACTGTCGAACCCCCCTCAACCATGCTTGGGACTAGGTCGGGAGCAAGGTCGGTTGTGGTTGGCTGGTGTTCGGCGAGGTTGGCTACCGAATTTGTTTTAAATCCAGACGATTTGAATACAAAATCATCGCGTTGAAGTCATGTGCAGGGCTCGAAATACACTCTGCATATGCACGTCAATGCAAGTGAATTTGGGAATATGCTGGTATTTTTTTATATCTACAGTATCTGTACCAGTCTGCATATGCCTGTACGTGTATGTGGATTTTTATTTGCTCCATTTAGTGTTACAGCCTATTAAAGAAAAAATAACAATGATTCATCAAAGGTTTTAGTATTATCCAAACTTCCAAAATTCTAAGTAGTGCAGACAAAATTTGTCTGATACAAAAAAATGAATGTTACCTGCAACAGTGCAGGTCTGCAGAAAAGAAACGTGTTTCGAGCCCTCGAAATATAATATGCAAGCATTACATATTAGCTGTGGTCAATGGATTCCAACCAACATGTTTCAATGCCGATTTATTACAATGTATTTCGTGATCAATACTTGCATGAATGTCACGCCAGGCGGCGGATTAGTGAGAGTTGATTGGCTGGCAACCGCTGACTTGACCTGACCTTCAGGGTACGGGTCACCTCCAGTAGCTATTACAACACTGATGTGACAGATTCAAAATCAACACAAAGTAAAACGTTAGTAGAATATTCCTCAATCAGTGACAGTGTTTGAAAGGTAGAAACACGTACCTTCAAAATTTCGATGTCCACTGTACAACTGCAAGTCAAAAACAATCACTGATTGAGGAATATTCTACTAACTGTTCATTTTACGTGACTGATGAACCTCTTCGACGAATTCAAAGTAAAACGTAGATTGTGACGCATTTGGCGATTAAACAAACTCTTTCTTCATAGAAAAGATTACATTCAGTCTTATAAACATAAACAAATAGACAGCGTGCTCAAAAATATTAATGTTATTACCCGTATTATCATTATTACCCATACACTTTGTAATTTAAATAGGCTTAACAATGGCTTACATAATATTTCTCTAAGCTGCCTGTAAAACCACCAATGCTTTAAACTCTATTGATATGCTGCAGGGTAAATTGTTTTAAGATACATCGAAGATGCGACAACTATTGTCATATATATTCTAGGGGGGCCTAACCATTACTGTGAACAAATAGGCAAATACATCAGAGAATGTTGAGACCTTAGAAGCACTAGCGCTAGTAAAAGCGTTGCAATGTACCAATGTACAGCTTATTGATTGCATATTTACTTGTGCATAAGGTCATTTCTGGTGTTAGTATCCAGTGTTAGTAGCATGTTTGATCATCAATTTTTAACAAGTTTGATCATTAATTTTTAACACAATAAATGACAATGATTAAAAGATCATGATTAAAAGACAGATGTAGTCGTCTGTATGCTTGGTTTTTCGTAGTTACAGCTGTAAAAAAAACGTGCGAAAATTGCTGTACTTTTGTTGTGTCGGCAAAGATTTCCTACAAGGTGCAGTAAAGATAGACAAGATAGAGTAGCGTCTGTAACAGTAATGGTTTACTCCTTTCTTATACCATCATAAGAACGCCCTAAGCATTCTGCTCTATGGCTTCGACAGGTAGTGTATATTTTCATTTAAAGACGCGATTGCCCTCGCGCTGTTACCCGTGGAAATAATGGGTTATTGCCCCATTTGAAGTGGCAGTTATTTCTCAGCTTCGTTGAATTACCTTATTTTGGACCCGAATGTCTCCTGGGAGCAGTTGAGGGTTAAGTGATTTGGCACTAACTGGTTCCTTAATGGTTTGCGGTAACGCCTTGAGAGAGCTGTCGTTTTGAGATTTTCTGTCTGCCACAGATACATACATAGTGTATTGTGCACTACAGATGGGAGAAAAAAAAACGATGCTTAAACGAAAATGTGCTTATCAATTTTTACTTCAGGGATGGAAGTATTGTTTTGGGTGGTGCTGGCTCAGGCATAGGTTGTATGTATGTTTGGGTTCTGAAATGAGTGGGCGTAAAGTGGGTTTCAGTCGATTAACACAATTTTGACACGGTGTGACCTGGGTTCAAGAATGTGGTCACCAGGAACATATAAAACATATATATAGACCATAGTGTGATAGCTATCATGCGATAGTATATGCAACATTATATTCAATGATGTAATTATGCACCCCTCCAGTGCCAAGCCCATCGTCTACTTAGACGGAAGGAGGCCGATGAATTCAGTTAACTGTATCTACTTGTCGGAAGTCTCTTATTTTGTTGGGTATCTTTAAAATTGCAAATGCAGGTCACAGATCCACCGTTACAAAACTAAGAATCAGTTGTCACAGATTGCGAATATAATCAAGAAGAATTTGCCAATTTTGCAGTTTAGATAAAATAGAAGATGAACTAAATTTTATTGTGACTTGTTCTTTGTATGATACCGAAAGAGTCATTCTTTTTTATTATGTGTTAAGTAAATCTTTCCATTTTGAGTATTTGAATAGTATAGAGAAATTTATATTCCTTACATAGAGATATTTGTATTCCCTAAAAGTCTTCCATAAACCAGCTCTAACTAATCATACAGCCAACATACATTTATACAATTACCAAGAAGCGAGAGGAAGTGGAAAGTACATTATTTACGTTAATATACTTTTTTAACATGTGACCTGTGCTTAGCCCAGTGGGCCAAAATGTACACTAAAGGTCTCCATTCATTCATTCATTCATTCATTCATTCATTCATTCATTCATTCATTCATTCATTCATTCATTCATTCATTATCTAGCACCTTACTGTTTTTTTAGGTGGCAGTAAGCTCAAGCTATGAATCACACTGTTTCTACTGCTTAAGGTATAAATAACGCATTTACTTTTGAGCTATAAATCACAAATTCTCTACGTTCAAGCTATAAATTACACTTTTACTTTTAAGCTATGAATAACACATTTACCTTTAAGCTATAAATAACACATTTACTTTTGAGCTATAAATCACACATTTTCTATACTTCTAAAGCGAAAAATCGCACATTTTCTACTTCTAGCCACCAACTTTGAAATCCTATTTACGTAAATCGATAAAACAGTCGATAAATTTGGCCAGCCTGATCTACTCCTGGGAGCTCTAAAATCTGAATGTCCTCATCGAAACGATTTATCTGATTTCTCTTCGCACACAGGAGGACAAGGTCAACAGCAAACCAGAGAGTGAATGGAAGTTCATCAGACCTAAACTCGATTGTCTCAATAGTCGCATCCCGAACTTATTGAAGCGGGACCTCTTTCTTTGACCGTCAAGGACTTCAAGCCATTATCTTTACATCCAAAACCAGATGAATTTTTCAGGGAGTTGCAATGCCCTGATGTAGATGGCTTCCTAAAGTAATGACTCATGTGTCATAAGAAATCAAACTTGCTTCATTATGACTTCCACAGACACATGAACTTTCAAAGAAAAGGCTACCTTAACATCCACTTTTTAATATGTAAGTTCATTTATCTATAGAGATGAAATGTATTCAGTTGTTTGTTTTCTCATTTGTTCTTATAGGTATAGCTGTAGAAGACCGTACTGAAGTTCTTGCACTTATGTCGTGTCGATAAAGATTTCCTACAAAATGCAACAACTATAGACAGAATAGAATAGCCTCTTGCTCTGATTCACAAAGACGTAAAAGCCATTTTCTTTTTTCTCGAAAATGAAATGTATCCAGTTATTTGTTTGCTCGTTGGTTTGTTAGTTTCTTTGTTTGTTCGTAGGTATAACTGTAGAAGACCGTACGGAAGTCGTTATGTCGACAAAGACTCCTACAAAACACAATACAGATAGACAAGATAGAATAGCCTCTTTCTCTGACCCTCAAG